TACAAAGATATAGGAATTTAAAAAAAAAGAGTTGGTTGCAAAAACTCAGTTCCTTTACAATTTTTTCCAGATGGTTAAAAAATACGTCAATGACTGGTTGAATCAGGTCCACCTAAACAAATTGAATAAGAAATAATTTTTTTCTTCAAAATTTCTAAAATGTTTAAAATCCTTTTAAAAGTGAATTTTTGCTATATGTTAAAGTAATTCGTGATAAAGAGGAAGCCAATATTCTGGTTCGAGTTTTTACTTGTTCACGTTGTTAATTCATAAAATTTGCTTTCCTTTCCTTTATGGTTCGTTTTTTTTATTTTTGAAAGGATAAAAATGATAAACAATTTGAAATTATCTGAAATGTTGCAACCTTAACAAAGCCACAGCAAAATGTAAAAACCTTGACAGTTGTAGAAAACCGAACCATGTCTTATTTTTCTATTATTCTATTATTCTATTATTTTATTATTCTATTTTTTTCTTTTTTCTTTTTCATTTTTAGAAACCTAATCTTATTTCGCACGTTTGAACTTTTGGGACATCCTGCTTTCTTAGTATACTAAAGATTCTTTGCACAGTGTAGATGGGTCATTACATTTCACCTTCTCATTAACCAACATATTTCCTATTATATTTCCATTCAATGAGCAGCAGAATATATATATTTACTATACATTAATGATATGAGTACAGGGGGCCAATGTTTAGCTTGAATCTATATAAACTAGCTTGGGAATCAAGCTTTGTCTGGAAACTAAATTTTCTTTATAAAAAGTTTTTAAAAAAACGACCCCTGACATTCCAATGGTTCTACATAGTTCCCCAATATGAATTGGAACTTGCGTCACTTGCAATAAAGACTTGACTTTTCTCTTTATCTTCTTTTAACCCGATGTAAGTGATGTAGTTAATGTAAACTGTTCAGTGTACACCGTGTACACTAAAAAATAATGGATTTCTATTTACTCTAAATTGACTAAGCACCTCTTTTTTACTTTTCTGAAAAAGCAATTATATTTTCATTTATTTCTCCATTAGTTTCTTTCTGAAGTTTCATGTCGAAACAACACCTTAACAGTACGATTTATAGTCCACACTGTACACTCGTTATAAACTAGAGTCAGGGAGGATTTAAAAACTAGAGAGACAGAGAGGATTTATAAACTAGAGACAGAGAGGATTAATAAACTATATAGACAGGGTGGATTAATAAACTATATAGACAGGGAGGATTTATAAACTAGAGAGACAGGGAGGATTTATAAACTAGAGAGACAGGGAGGATTTATAAACTAGAGAGACAGGTAGGATTTATAAACTATATAGATAGGGAGGATTAATAAACTATATAGACAGGGAGGATTTATAAACTATATAGACAGGGAGGATTTATAAACTATATAGACAGAGAGGATTTATAAACTATATAGACAGGGAGGATTTAAAAACTATATAGACAGGGAGGATTTATAAACTATATAGACAAAGAGGATTAATAAACTATATAGACAGGGAGGATTTATAAACTAGAAACAGAGAGGATTAATAAACTATATAGACAGGGAGGATTAATAAACTATATAGACAGGGAGGATTTATAAACTATATAGACAGTGAGGATTTATAAACTATATAGACAGGGAGGATTTATAAACTTTATAGACAGGGAGGATTTATAAACTATATAGACAGGGAGGATTTATAAACTATATAGACAGGGAGGATTTATAAACTAGAGAGACATGGAGTATTTATAAACTAGAGAGACAGGGAGGATTTATAAACTAGAGACAGGAAGGATTTATAAACTAGAGACATGGAGGATTTCAAAACTAGAGACAGGGAGGATTTATAAACTAGAGACATGGAGGATTTCAAAACTAGAGACATGGAGGATTTATAAACTAGAGAGACATGGAGAATTTCAAAACTAGAGACAGGGAGGATTTATAAACTAGAGAGACATGGCGAATTTCAAAACTAGAGACAGGGAGGATTTATAAACTAGAGAGACAGGGAATTTATAAACTATATAGACAGGGAGGATTTATAAACTATATAGACAGGGAGGATTAATAAACTATATAGACAGAGATGATTTATAAACTAGAGACATGGAGGATTTATAAACTATATAGACAGGGAGGATTAATAAACTAGAGTGACAGAGAGGATTAATAAACTATATAGACAGGGAGGATTTATAAACTATTTAGACAGGGAGGATTTATAAACTAGAGACATGGAGGATTTATAAACTAGAGAGACAGAGAGGATTTATAAACTAGAGACATGGAGGATTTATGAACTAGAGAGACAGAGAGGATTTATAAACTAGAGACATGGAGGATTTATAAACTAGAGAGACAGAGAGGATTTATTAACTATATAGACAGGGAGGATTTTTAAACTAGAGATATGTTTTTTACTCATATTATTTAAAGAATTGGGAAGAAAAATGAAAAATGGCAAGTTTTTTGTTTATTTCCAGAACATTCCTTTCATTTTGTGCGTGAAACTTGAATTTGGCTTGTCTGTTCTATATTTGTGTGGAAAAGAGCTGAACCAAGCGGGTTCAAGTTTTTTAATGTTATCTCGCATGCCCCAAATTTTACCTAATTCCTCAAATAAAACCGCAAATATTTAGCCCTACAATGTACTTTAAAAACAGACTACATAATCAATATTTAAATGCTAATCATGTTGCTAGAAAAAGAAGAGTGAAAGTCTAATACTAAATAACCTGATGAGTAATAATTTCTCAAGAAAATATATACCCCTGGCTTTATTTGTTTGCAAATCCACTCCGCCTCGCATTACTCCTGCGTGCTCCGAATAGTTATCTTAAAGTTTAATGTATAATGAAGAGTATCTTATGAATATATTATCCATAGGATTAATCCAGTTGTATATAATTCATTATAATCAGGATTACCATTAATAGCTCTTTATATGCCATGAGTTTTAAAATCCTAATAGTAATCGTAAGTCATTAGAAATAATAAAAACGATTGATCGTTGAGTCATGGATAGGGTTTGCAGAGAAATGTAAAAATAGTTGCGCAAAATATCGCTACAATCTATTTCGCGAAAAAATACGAACATTTTTCGAAAAATCAAACATTTTTTAAAGTAAATGAAGAGAAATTATTAATTTTCAATAAATTTTTTTTCAAAAACAATCGTTTTCAAAAACGATCGCTATTCGTTTTCTAACAGTTCAAAACGATTGTTTTTGAAAAAAAAATTTATTGAAAATTATGTTAACGATCGTTAACGAAACGATCAAAAACTTTATCAAAACGGTCGTTTTTGGAAAAAAAATTACATGCAACTTTATAGAATGTCGTCTTACATGAAGTTTAACAGTTGTGGAATGTGGGGGAGTTAAAACTCCTTGATATTTTCTTAAAAACTACTCAATGATAAGAACAGATGCCCTTCAGGTCGGTTTCCTCTCTTCGTTAACCATCGTTAACGAAGGGGTCGTCGTTAACGATCGTTAACGAAGGGTCGTCGTTAACGATAGTTAAGGAAACGACGAATTTTATAAAAACGACAGTTTTTACAAAACGAACTTTAAAAAAAACGATCGTTTCGTTTTCGATTTTTCGTCGTCGTTTTCATAACGAAACGATCGTTTTTCTGAAAAATGAAAACGTTAACATCCCTAAATAAATTACAACCTTTAAGACCCGTTACAAAAACGATTAACAACCCTAAATTTATTTAGTAAAAAATTTTGGTATGAAAGAAACATGTTCACTGCTGCAAGGAACAACAACTTTAACGTTTTAGAAAATTCATCATAAGGTCGTCCTACAATGACTTATGTTCTAATCTGATTTTTAAAAATTTATTTATAATATTAAATATATAATATGTAAACTCATTCTTGTAGAGAAGATTGTAAAACATGATAATTTACACGAAAGAAGAAGTGGAAACTGGAGGGGGATGTTTACAATAAGTTGAAAAGAGTACACAATTAAATTAAAACTATTAATATCATTTGAAAAAAAATTCCAGCCGGTGTCATGCATTGAAAGCCAACCCAGCATGGAGAGACTCTGAGTGTGTACACCATTTCAGCACAATTTCAGACATACAAATTATTGTTTAGACACTTAACGATATTTATTTTTGTATTTTGTTTGGGTATACGCTTTCAAAATTATCTATGTCTTAAAGAAATAATGCGGGTTTGATAATGTGAAAGGAAGACGACATTTGTGAGAAAATTTTCATGCGTTTCCCCCCGTAAATAATACATTTTACAATATGTGCATTTCTTTACGTAAACTCTATTCTCTAAGGGTCTTTAATGTTCTACATTGCGTTGAAATGTTTTAAACACATAAGGGGTAGGGCAGGACATGCAGGACACCAGGGCTAGGCAGGGTTATTGACACATGAATTGAATTCTTTACGAATCGGAAGTAAGGATTAAAACGGTTTTATATCTTTGATACAAGCAAAGCTCTAAAGCTCAAAAGATAAGATAAAGCTTGATTACCTAGGTTTATCTCAATAAAAGTTCCCAGTTAGTTACCGGGTCCGGTCAATTCGCTTTTTAGGACACTCTTTTTGTAATCCCTGATAAATTCTATTCAATATGAGTTCTCTAATTAAATGGCGCGCTAAATTTCAAATTTCCCAGCTGTTCGGGATTATATACGCTACTCTGATTAGATGAATTCTATACACTTTCCTGGATACCAACTAAGTAGATTAATTTTGAGATTAATAAAAAGAGGAAATCAAGCATTCTAAAAATGTCACCTGTGTCTACGTGAATATTTTTTGGACAAGTGTACTTCTAGGGTCAATGTGGTGAACATGAAATACGATTAATTGATTCAGAAAATTTTAATAAGGAATATGAGAGATTTCTGAAAATACCTTATATATCTTCGCATGAAGAAAAAATAAAAAAAGTGCAAAAAACAAGATTTCAAAAAATAATAAGCTCGGCAATACTAAATCAAAACAGTGAACAAATTGGAAAATGTGAAGAAATGGAATGTATTAAATGCATCTGTTAGGCTCCATGTCATTGAATTAATTATTAGAATACAATTTAGTTTTGGTGTCTAGACTCTAGACCTTTCATTCGTGATTCGATATTGGACTTCTAATAAAATAGTTAATTTAATTTAGAGATTGTAAGCAAATTCTACAGTTGAACTGCCTCCACGTTGGATAATTTTTTAAGAATTTTTCCCAATTGAATAATTTGATGATATTTATGGATTCCATTGTTTGATCCATGATATTTATAGATACCATTGTTTGATCCATGATGTATTTTAATGAATTCCACTGTTTGATCCATGATGTTTTTGGATTCTACGGTTTGATCCATGATGTTTATGGATTCCTCCGTTCTTGAATTCTACAGTTTGTTCAATGAATGTTGTGGATTCTACTGTTGGATCCATGATGCTTATGGATTTCACTGTCGATCCATGATGTATTTTAATGAATTCCACTGTTGGATCCATGATGCTTATGGATTTCACTGTCGATCCATGATGTATTTTAATGAATTCCACTGTTGGATCCATGATGTTTATGGATCTTACTGTTCATGTTCAAGTCATGATATTTATGGATTCTACTTTTCGATCCAGGAGGGTGGATTACTGTTGGGACCATTAACCTAAAAATGTCATCTATTAGAATCATAAAATTTTATGACGAAAAAAAAATGTTTTAAATGACATTTATTCCTTTCCAATATTGTAAAAATAATTCAGGGGAATATTAAAAAGCTGAAAATTGATCTGATGAGGAGAAAAATATTGTTGTTAACAAATTTTGGGAAAAAATCAATTTTTGGCGGAATTTCTATTACGGAAAATCTTATATTTTGCAAAAATAAATATACATCCCCCTCTTCAAATTGTTCCTCCCCCCCCCCACCCTAAGTTGGGCAGAAATAATTTTATTGATTTTATTACTGAATTGTAAAAAGTGATGATTTAAGAAAAATAAATTTGTTTAAAGGAGGAAATCCTTCATTTAATGTTTTTGCTAAAATCTTTAATTTGATGGGTGGGGAGGTGGTGGACCAAGGATACCTTGATGGCAAACTGTTTCATGGTGGATTCAAGAGCGGCCTGGTTACCAGAGAAATACGCAGATACAGCATTATGGAACAGCAACAGTTGCTTCTGCATTACCTTTACCTAATAAATCAATCAATCAATCAATCAATCTATCACTCAATCAATCAATCAGTTAGTTAGTCAATGGTTTAAAATCTAAAAAGGAACTCCAGCTAGGGAAGCGAAGACTGCCAACATGGTTCAGATAAGTAGATAGATAAACAAATAAAAATAAAAAGATTTATATATACATATTTACAGAAACTTGAGTTAAATTTTTTAATTCTGTTTTCATCTAGAAACTTGAGTTAAAACAGTTATTTGATTTCATCAAGAAATTTTATTCAAAACAGTTTATTTGATTTCATCTAGAAAATTGAGTTTTAATTGTTTACCCTGTTGTCATCTAGAAACTTGAGTTTTAATTGTTTACCCTGTTTTCCTCTAGAAACTTAAGTTTTAATTGTTTACCCTGTTTTCATCTAGAAACTAGAGTTTTTATTGTTTACCCTGTTTTCATCTAGAAACTTGAGTTTGATTTGAACATCAGATCTAAGCTTCTCAAACTCACACTTCTTATTGTTGAAGGCCGCCTAGATAAAAAATATGTTATGTTTCAATGAAAAACATTAGGATATTTTTTATTTTATTGCAAGGTTATTTCTCTGAACTAATTACTTTCCTGAAAGTTTCTAAACCAGATTAAAATGGTCCAAATTATGAATTCTGAAAAAATAAATGGTGAAAACTTAAAATACTAAGAGTTTACACCGTCCGGGACCAGAGTTTATGAATAATGAGAAGCAGCTGAACCGTGCAAGGGTAGTTAAGCCACTTTTTTGTGCATCGGTTCAAGCTGAAGAGAAGTGGCTGACACGTGTTTGTGCAATTCAACCATGTCTTGATAATCATGATAATCAGTGAGTGTTCATTGGTTTAAACCAGGTTTACAAAAATCTTAAAGTAAGCGTATGTGGAGAGTAATCAGTTCCTTAAATGAATGCATTGCAATAAATACACATTGAACTAAAATGAAAACGATTTCTAAGATATTGGGAAATAGAAATTGTTAGAAAACACGCAAAACAGATGTTGGTAAATTTCCCACTTGAAATCCATATTCGGACTTAGTCCTTATCAAAATTAGACAAAATTACACTTAGTTCTGCAGTTCATAAATCTTATTTTTTATTGTTTCTTTTTGAGTACAACGGGGGAAAGAATGTTAATGACAAAAAGCTTGAGACCAAAAACATGATAACTGGGGGAATACAAAAAAAAGGGGGTGAGAGTAAAATAGTTTATAAATGGTAGAATGCATGAAAAAGGGGTTAAACTAACTTGTGTAATCTGAAAAATTTTTAAACAAAAAAAATCTAACAATTACCTGAGTTTCAGCCATCTTTATTTGGTTAATTTCAGTTTTTGGTGCAACAGCGTAATAATCCAAATCACTTTTATACGCATCAAATTCAACTCTAGAACACACAAAGATTTAAATTTAATCCAGATTTAAAAAAAAAAACGTTGGAATTCAAGAATATCAAAAAACCGGTAAAATAATAAATTCATAGAAATTGATGAAATGGACAAAAAAGAAAACTATTAGCCCCTTAAGGATATACTCGACCATACACAAAGTTTCTAAAATAAAAAATGCTGTTTTTTCATACTTGTTTCTTCAAACCGCAAAAAAAATATTAAAATTTTTAAGAATATAGAAAATCCCAAGGATAATGGATTGATGTCCCGTGTCTCCCCCCCCCATATATACCTTGCTGTTTCATACTGTTTGACTGTGAGGATACTATCCTCCATGGTCTTGTTGGCGAGAGTGTTCACGCTGCTCACGAAGAAGTTAAGAGCAGCAAGTAAATGTTCTCCATTCTACAAGATTAAATTTTATTATCATTCACATATATTTATATTTCATGTTGTTTATTCGTTTATCTTAAATTCTTAAATTCTTTTGCCTTCAAACGTCTTTAAAAAAAAGGTTTTTATCTGTTCACACATCTAAAAAATCAATTTTTACTGTTTTTGAGGGACCTTCTTTGGGCAAGTGAGATCCACAAAAAAGGGGGACCAATCTGTGATTTTTTTAACACATTTTAGGATAAATATATAGACAGAAATTAAAACCCTTTCTTTTAGAATTAAAATACTAATTACTAGCTGGAGGGCCCAACGTTAACTGTGGAAACACAACAATAATAATAAAAAAAAATCCATTTTGGTTTAGCCTGTCACTCCCAGTGTCCACAAAAAAACAATCCAAATAAAAGTTACCTTAGATAAGGTTCTCTGGGTTTCTGCATTGTAAAGAAACTCTTCCTGACGAAAATAATTAATGTTATCTCAAGAGGTAATTTATTTTTTTGTTTTCAATAACTGACGATAAAATATGTTTTTAAAAGTAATCTCCTACCACCAGTTATGATCAAGCCTTACCTAACGTGTACACTAATTTGTGTAATTAAACGGTTTACATTTTTATTACTTAAACATTGTCCGTTCTTTCTTAATTCATTGGTGATTTATTACTTGTATTTCTGGTAATTTGTATTGCTGGTAATTTATTACTTTTAATTCTGGTTGTCTTTTATCTTTAGTTCTAATGATTTTTTATCTGTGTGTCTTGAGATATTTTACCTGTAGTTCCGGGGATTCATTGGGATATATTATCCGTAGCTCTGGTAATTTATTACCTGTAGATCTGTTGATGATGAGTTAGTAGATCTGATGAATTATTACCTGTAGTATTGACAATTTATTACATGTAATTCTGGTGATTTATTACCTGTAGTGTATAGTGTATAGTGTATATATGGGGATATATTACCTTAAGTTCTAGTGGTTTATTGCCTGTATTTCCAGTGATTCATTACGTGTAGTTCTGGTGATTTATTACCTGTAGTTCTGGTGATGAATTACCCGTAGTTCTAGTGATTTATTAAACGTAGCTCCAGTGATTTATTACCTGTAGTTCTAGTGATTTATTACATGTAGTCCTCGGGATTTTTCAAATGTAGATCTAATGATTTATGCCTGTAGTTCTGGTGATATATTACCTGTTGTTCTGTTGATTTATTACCTGCAGTTCTTGAGATTTATTACCTGTAATTCTGGTGATTAATTTCATATAGTCCTCGGGATTTCTTAAATGTAGATCTAGTGATTTATGCCTGTAGTTCTGGTAATTTATTACCTGCAGTTCTAGGGATTTATTAACTGTAGTTCTGGTGATTTATTACCGGTAGTTCTGGTGATATATTACCTGTTGTTCTGTTGATTTATTACCTGTAGTTCTGGTGATTTATTACCTGCAGTTCTTGGGATTTATTACCTGTAGTTCTGGTGATTTATTACCTGAGTTCTGGTGATTTATTATCTGTAGTTCTGGCGATTTATTATCGGTAGTTCTGGTGATATATTACCTGATGTTCTGTTGATTTATTATTTGTAGTTCTGGCGATTTATTACCTGTAGTTCAGTTGATTTATTACCTGAGTTCTGGTGATTTATTACCTGTAGTTCTGGTGATTTATGTGCTAATTCTGAGAAACATTCTCCCATTGCACTCTTTAAAGTAATAAAATAAAATTAAAGAAAATTTGTTTTTAAGCAAATTGTTGGACAACTAAAATGAGAAGAATTTAGGAAAAAAGAAAAATAAATATGTGAGTATATTTTTAAGAGTTACCTCCCCCCTGGGGGTAATTATTTTTGATGATTTTGGGTAGGAAAAATAACTAATTTGACATAAAAGGCAAGATTTTCATTCTTATTGATCTTTTTTTCCAACAAAATTCAGTTAATTTCCCCAATTTAGCGAATAAAACCCAAGAAAATATTACCACGCGATCATATTTAACTTCAGGGAAAAAAAATTAGGGAGGGTTGGGGAAGAAAAATGAGTTTTAGAGAAAATCAACACCATGGTTCTGATGTATTTATTTTTGAATAATTCTCTATGGAACACCATATTGTATATTCTTTAGCAGCCCCCAGACAGGATAAAACAAGGCCAACAGAACGAAAAAAAATTAAGGTTTGTAAAGATTTTTTTGACAATGAATTGACATAAAACACCAATCATTTTAAAAATAATTTGTAGTTTTCCTTCTTTCCATCTTTAGCAACAACTCTAGGGGTAGATATTTTAAAGAATTCATACCCCTCCCCCAGAATTTCGGTTGAGAATAAAAAAAATTGGATCAATTTGAAAGATTTCTCCCGATTCTTTACATTTTAATTTATTATTTTAAACGGAAAATTGAGCAATTTTAACCATTAAAAAGATTATACAAACATGAAAAGATATTATTTAAAAAATGGAAGAAAAATTATATTTTTCAAGAGAAAATATAATTATGATATATTTTTATTATATTTATAATTATATCTTATTTTATCAATTTTACCTGTGTTTGAACTACATGGTAAAAATGAGAAGTGAGAGATCTGGCCAATCTTAGAATATTTCCGTACTTTCTCTTTAATCATTTAACATTTATTAATCTTATAATATTTCCGTACTTTCTCTTTAATCATTTAACATTTATTAATCTTAAAAAATTTTCGTACTTTCTCTTTAATCATTTAACATTTATTAATCTTAGAATATTTCCGAAACCTTCTCTTAAATCATTTAACATTTATTAATCTTAAAATTTTTTCGTACTTTTTCTTAGCATTAATTGTTTCAAGAATTAAAAGGTTCGAGTAAAATGTTAAAATTAAATGATAGAAAAGCTACTTTCGTAGTCGACCTTAGAAATAGTTTTTATCATCGGTCTGTAGACAGGCGAATACTTTACAATACATATACATCCTAGCTCTAATTTGAATTAAGAAAATAGTAAGTTTAGGATTGAAATAATCAGGCAGAAAAACTTCTTCTTTAAAATTTCTTTTTCCAGAGTGTAAAAGTACCTAAAATGATCATCCTAGGCTGGTACAGTATAATAATATAGGATTATCCTAAATTATATTTCTTGATGATTGCTAAATCAAATAATTTTTGGGAATGAGTGAGCATCAGAAAACTGTATAATAGGAAGACGACATTATATCAATACTAAGTGAATTTGATGTTGTTACAAAGCAAATAGTTTTACTTGTCACACTTATTAAATTACTAATTTAGCGAAATGGGTCTGTTTACACTGCACGATTGCTGTGTCTCTTTTTCATGGTAGTTTTTAAAGTTATAACGAGTCTTAAAGTCACTTATCAATGTATCAGCGTGATTCTGGAAATAATTTGCGTTTAAGGTTTTAAAATATAGTCCTATTGTAACAGATTAGCCTAAGAACTATAAATGCTATTAATGATAAATCCCTGTGTGTCTCTTAATGCTTCGATCTGAGACTCCAATTCAATATCAACGGTTCGATTTGTCTTTCCTGAAAAAATAGTAAAATTATTTGTTTAAAAAAAGGTTAAAAAATGGGAATACGTATATATCAACAAACTAAAAATTTGATTTAATCTTTTTTATCTTAAAAGCTGAATCATCAATTATTAAATATTAGAACCTCCGTAGATTATTTAGTCCATTTCTTACCAAGCTTCTCATAAAGTGATTGTTTAGAGCACTTGTATGTTGAAATCGTCCAGTTCTTAATTGTCTCCAACTTCGTCCCTTTACTGCCGGGGCTAGGGGTGTTCAAAGGAATATTTGTTGATACTGAAATATTAATAACATTTAATTAATAATTAATTCTTAATCACAAATTTCAAATTTTGACTATGAAGACAATTTAAAAATTGAACTTGGCAGATTAACATTGTAGAATCCCCAGTAATAATTAAGCGTTAAGTTAGAACCAGTGCTTAGGATTCACTTAATGTTAATGCGGAACGGAATCCAGGATTCGCCCTTGAAAGGAAAGGGATCCAATTCTGATCCAGGTCATGAACATTTCTTCAAGGTAGCTAATTTATTTAACGAATGAAAAATTGCCCACATTTTTTTCTTCTTTTCTTCGCTTCATTGTTAAATGTAAGCTCAACCTTAACGGACAAGTTTTTAATAGTCTCTTCTCAGTTAAGTTTTTTTTTATTTGTTTTGAGAGCAAAAAGTTTAATTTTGCAGGTTTTCTTGAGATTTTGCATGTTAGATCTGGATCCAAAACTTTGTTGATCCGGATCCAGATACCAAAATTTTGCGGATCAAACAGTTCCGGATCCTAAGTACTGTTAAGAATTACAAAAAAAAACCTATTAAAATTGATTTATGGATTATAAGGAATTTGATAAGACGAAATATTGATTACTCTAATAAAATTCCTGACAGGATTATAAATAAAAGTTTAAATAAAAATGAGAATTCACCAGCTTTCGATTAATTAAAGTAGAGGTTCATCTAGGATTAATCTGTGTAAACAATGCACACCCCATTACACCCATACAATGTCACATAACAACTTTTAGACACAAAAAACGGCCACAAATAATATCTAAGACCATAACAAAAGTCTGCTTTTAGCACCTTTAGTCCATAAACTCTGCCACAAATTGAAGTCTTACATCTGCCAAAAATTGTCTAGATGACCCTCTGAATTAAAGTAGTGTTGACTGTTTAATGTTAACCATCTCGAAAAAAAAAATTACGAGTATCTCACGGTCAAGTTTAAAAATGATCGAAACCTTCAACCCTTTCGATGTAAACAGCTAATCACTAGATTTTCGTCTTGTTTTTGTGTAGTTAAAAATATTTCCTGTATAAAACATAAACAAGGTAGAAACGTTTGCAAGGTGACACAAATGTAGCGACGGATTATTTACTGACGTGTGAAGAAAACAGCAATTTAAAAAAAAGTTAAGTGTTTTTTTCCAACCTGGTATGATTATGTTTAACAGATAATTTATTTTTAACAATTGAAAAAATAATGAAAGGAAAAACATCTTCTGTACATCATACTTTCCAACATTGTTTGGTTGAATCTAAAAAATCTTCTTCTGTACATCAGACTTTCCAACATTGTTTGGTTGAATCTAAAAAATCTGCTTTTACCTTAACATGTCCGATTCACAACGGTGCTCTTTTAACCTTTCTTTGAACAAGGATGAATGAGACATCCTTATTTTTACAGTTGAAAAATTTACTATTTTCATAAATGTAGTCTCTATAAAAAAGTGACAATAAAGGAACTTAACAGAATGCAACATTTTTTTTAAATATTCAAACACGAATATCTTCCCCATTGTTCCTCAGCTTGAGATTTTAAGGGTGCCATTTTGAATCGGACATGCCACGTTATAAAAAGAAGATTGAAATCACGTCTACAATCCCTTTCAGACAAAATATATTTACCTGGTTCTCCAAAAGGTTGGAAAACTGGAGCACAGCCCTGGTTCATCCCTCCAATCCAACTCTGCTTTACAGGACCATCCTCCCCTTTAAATTGTAGGTCAGGATCAGTGTAAAGGTCAGTGTGAAGGTCAGTGTGAAGGTCAGTGTGAAGGTCAGTGTGAAGGTCAGTGTGAAGGTCAGTGTGAAGGT